CCATAAGTTACTGCAAAAGCAAGGCAAAGCCAGGACCGAAAAAGGTTAAAACTTGGGAATGTTCTGGTAACGAAAAAAAAAACATCGCACTGAGAGTCTGAGAGTGACAAGAATTCGTGGTTTTACCAGCGTTGAGAAAAGTGCGCTAGAAAAAAAGTTTTTCTTTGTCTTTTTTTCTTTAATTGTCTATTGAGAACATACTCGGAGAGGCTAACTGGAGAAATTCGATTGGGAAAGTATCACTTTCCCGCGAAGTGCCATTTTGCCTGTTGCGAAAGTCAGCGGTTCCACATTTTGTTGGCTGGTGGTTTACAGCGTAGGCCTGGTGTTGACATAACCGTCTAAAGAGGCGCGAAATATTTAGAAGACCAAAACAGGCGATACGGCCGAGACAAAATGCCTCCTCTTCTATGTAGAATTCTCAAATTGCGTAAAATTTCTGCCAAACATGTACTGAACAATAAGGGACAAAAATGTGTTAGCGCAAATACTTTCCTTTTGGCGGCCTCTTTTCTCACCTCTTAATATCTGAATAACTGATGATGTCTAAGCATTTTGCTCGATCTGACCGAGCAACGACTTGTTTTTTCCTTTGTTTTTCATTTTACCGGTAACAAAGTCTGAAATTTGAAGAAACAATCTTTTGCTGTTTCAAAACCTTATTCACAGAACGTTTTGATGTAAATGTGTAAATTTTGATGTAAACGTGAAAAAAACTTCACCGCGGGGACTTCTTTCAAAAAATCTTTTCTCACCTCTTAAAAGGTCATCGTCTACATCCAGTTCAGCGTCACCTGACGTAACTTGACTTTTCTCTGTCGCTGAAATTACCGTGAAGATATTTCAACTTTGTTAGTGATCGCAACTATGTGCGATTACAACTAGCGTTCTAATACTGGCGTATTTAGTGGATTCGAAGTGATCCAAAAAATTGTACACCAGAATTAGGGTGTACTTAATCAACCAACAGTACATAATTACCACAAAGAAGTCTTTCCTTGTTGCCTTTTCTTACCTGTAGCTGGAAACTCATTTTTCACCTCCAGTTCTTCTCCCGTTGTTGGGAGGATGCTTTCTGCCATAGCTAGAAATAAAATTGAATCGATTGCACTGCGCTACATCGTTAAAAATAAAAAGAGGAGACTCCAATGAAAGTAACCTAAAGAAAACGTTGTATACTTAATCATAGAGGATGAATGAGAATCTCAAAGTTTCCTCCATCACGCTATAGTGGTTGCGTGACAGCTCCAGTCAAGTTCAGCGGGTTGTGTCATGTTTGTTTTTTTCATTCGTTTGTTTATTTGCTTGTTTGTTTTTTAGTCTTTTCTAATGAAACGTCGTTCAAGGCTGTCCCTTATCAAAATGCGTGAGTTGCAATAAACAACCTAATTGTAAACGGTAGGCATGGATAAACACAGATAAAATGTTATGCAATAAAAGACTCTTTCTCTCATTTCTTCATTTTCTCGCGCGTGGGGTTGGGAGAATTCGCAAAACTTATTCAAGCCCGAAACACCTTCGAAGATCTACGTAACCGTCACGAATTCTACCAACACCCCGCAAGCCTATTGAGTAACGAAACACGTTTATCGACCCGTGGCAGCGAGTGTAAGATCTCTGTTCTTCTACAAAGTGCATTTGTAAAATTTCCCTCAAAGCTATCGAAAATTGCTGGACAAAGGTTCTTTAACAAATTCATAAGTTCTAGTAAATAAAATATTCCATTCATTTTTTTTTTTTTTGAAGGAGCCAGGAAATTTTGAATAACTGGAAGTAGCTGGCCCTTTACCGAATTATTTTGGGGAAGGGCCCGAATTTTTCATTTGGAATTCAAAAAAGGCACTGAATACGAGATTATTCCGAGGGACTGGAGCAGATAGCACTGGGAACTACCTTTTCATAAAAACTCTTGTTTAAAGAAACTTTATCTACATCAAATTGAAAGCCAAGCGCAACACGCAGGCTTCTGCATAGCTTAATCTTGTAGGCCATCGAATAAATTCACTGCCAAGCCAAATGAGCACTTGGCGGAGGAAGTAGACTGAAAGCGAAATGAAACAAAAAAAAAACATTTCGATATCGCAAGGCAAAAGAGAACTTTTAAACTTATTTGTGAACGAATCGCTGATCAAAAGAGAATCTTCTGCAATATAGTAGTGATTGGGAAATTTAGGAAATTCTCGTGGAGCTGCTGAGATGGTCTTGCCCTACAGAACAGGATTCTGCTTCAATATCAGCATTTACTGAGCTCACAGTTTTATCTTCCAGCGCACGATGTAAAC